ACTGACAAGCTGCTAGAGGTAGTGTGTTGTTTTCTGTTTGTAGTTCCTGTCTGTGCAAATTGTATATCCAGGCTTATTGTTTTCTTTTTCCTTTTTTTCAAATCCCTAGTATGTCTATTTGCATTGTTAGTATAATTTCATGCCATCTGTCTCATAGCTGTCCTTTTTATTTGTCCTGTGTTGTCTAGGTAAATTCCCCATACCTGGAGGAACATCTGATGCATATGATCAAGCAGGACCAGAGTAAGGTGCACAATATGGACCTGTTGTGGCGCTACTACGAGAAGAACCGCAACTTTGGCAAAGCATCTCATGTATTGGCCCGTCTCGCTGACATGCACAGGTTTGGACACATAACTGGATATTAAGATTCATTCTGAATTATTATCCCAATATTATCACCTATCATATCACCAGGGGAAAAAATTACAACCCTGAGTTACCACATATACCGTGTTTATACAATATGTCTTTATTTATGATAATAAATTGCTAATAACATTTGAAGTGAAGAGATGGAGAGAAAAAAAGTATCTTTTTGTCAACATGCAGCACAGAGATCTCATTGAAGCAGCGTTTGGAGTATATCGCCCGAGCCATCCTGTCTGCTAAGAGCTCCTCCTGCATCTCTGCTCAGGCATCTGATGGAGAGTTCCTTCACGAGCTTGAGGAAAAGATGGAGGTACGTATGTGGCGGTGATCACAGTAAAGAAATCTAGGTGTGATCCTCGTATGAAATTTAGTGATGTATTTTGTTCCCCTCCCCAGCTGGTGCGCATCCAAGTACAGATTCAGGAGACCCTGATCAGACAGTACTCCCATCATCCCTCAGTCAAGAATGTCATCTCTCAGTTGGACTCTGAGCTCATGGACATCACCAAGGTAACACAAGCAGAAAAATTATGATCAGGGATTATTAAGAATTGCCATTACAATGAATGGAAAATGTTTATAAATGCCGAATAATATTCTCTCTTGTAGCTCTACGGGGAATTTGCTGACCATTTCAAATTGTCCGAGTGCAAGCTGGCAATCATTCACTGCGCAGGACACTCTGACCCAATCCTGGTGCACTCGCTGTGGCAGGAGATCATGGAGAAAGGCAAGTAAAATGTCAACACCTCTTAAAATAACAAAATTGCCCCGAAACCATTTTTGAAAATACCCTTCACATGCTGGTATGTGATGTGTCAGTGATAACTTTGTCTTTTCTAGAACTGGGAGACAGCGTGGCCATGAGTCCAATAGACAGGATGAGGTCTCTCAGTTTGAAACTGGTATCACTGGGGAAGATTTATGCTGGAACACCAAGATATTTCCCTCTGGGTAAGCATTCATACCCTGCTGTAATTATGTTCAGTTTTCCTCTTGTTATAATTTTCCAGCTTGCTGTTTACTGTTTTGTTAACAGTAATATAATTAGTTATCCCCTTTGCATCATTTATGTCAGCATGTCTCTGTGGTACAGGTCTGCAGGGTCACACTGGTGCTCGAAGTGATTGCTTAATTATCCACTGATTACAACCAGCCTGTTCAAACTTGTCCCCTCTGTGGAGACAATGATTAATTTTCTATCCATCCTTGGTACTGGTACAGAATCAGACATCAGAACACATTTTCCCCAGCAATGAACAAACTGATGAGTATGCAGCGTAATAAGTGCGGATGTGTCCTGTGATTGTAGAGTTCCTAGTGAAGTTCTTGGAGCAGGAGGTGTGTCGATTGAACTGGGACGTGGGCTTCGTCACCTCCACCATGCAGGAGATTGGAGTGCAGTTGCCGCGTCTTCTGGAGGTCTATGACCAACTCTTCAAAACTCGGGTACAGATAAAAGTTTCAATGCATGACTTTTTCAGATTCATTCAAATGAGTGTACACAATTATAAGCAGCAGTTGCAGCTTTTGCGGATTGAGGAATTAAATTGTCTCTTGATCCATCGACCTGTAGGATCCCTGTTGGCAGCGGCTGAAGAAACCTCTCCACTTGGTGGAGTGTATCCACGTGCTGCTGTCAGGATATGTGGATGATCCCAGCAGAGTACCAACCTATGACAGGTAATCACTGTCTGAGCTGCTGTTCAGCTGCTGGTCTGTAGTTGGCGCCGTAGTGTTGGCCTTGTGTTCACAGAGACATTAGCATGAGCATATCGTCGCTGGCTAAAATCCCTGTGAAAATGAATGTATCCTGCCAAACTGCCCTTTAGCAAGACAAGAACCCTCCCCCTTCACTGACTTTATTATAAGCTCCTCTAGATGAACTGTAGTTGGATTAAACCTTCCACTGTCTACACAGGAGGAAGAATGCTTAAAAACATGGTTAGTTCGATGAACCTTAAAATCTTGAAAAACAGCATCTCCAGTGAGGGCAGCAAAAATTCAGCGAGAGGCATTTTTGCTGTTTCTAGGCAACACATCGTCTCTGTCAATCAGTTGTGTGCCATCAACAGCAGATACATTCAGGCAGTCAGAGACACTAGACAGACAGATCTAAAACTCCAAATGCCCTCTAAAGCTTGATGCTTATAGTTTGTGTCATGATCATTTCTCTGTGAATTCAGATAGCTTTGTGTCAGAACTACCTGTAGCTGGGGGTTGTTTGTTTAAAGGATAGGTTCACATTTGTCATCTGTCTGAAAACAATACTCTCATGCCCATATGTACACTGAATGGTTTACTGGTCTCTAGGGATGCACCAATATATCAGCCCAACATCAGCCTATATTTGCCTTGTTGACTGACATCTGCTTATTGTGGCACTTATGGCACTCACCAATGTTAGTGGTATGTTTTGTGTTGCATAAAAATTACACTGGCCAAAGGATGTGTTGGTTATTTCCAACACAAATATTGGAGAAATAATCGCCTCCGTTTTCCAGCACTGGCTCAAAAATACCGATGTGCTCCACAGTCAGTTGCGGCTCAGCCTTGCATCTCACATCTTGGATGAGAAGAGAAATATACTGAGCTGCAACAAGGCACATATGCTTATCTTTGTAGAGTTCTTTGTCTGGCACAAAATAGTGAATAAATAGCAAGAAAAAACATCATCTATCAGCCAAATTGTTATATTAAACATCGGTATCACCCCACAATTTCCCAATCTGTTCATATCTACTGGTCTCTGTAATTGTTCCTCCTGTCCATACTGGCTGGGAAGAAATCCACAGTCATTATTCTGTGTAAAAATACGTACTGCATCCCAATATGAGGATTCAGCAGCTTGAACCAAAATCAACTGGATATCTTCCAAATTTAAGTTCTTTTTAGTACACATGTGCCTCTTTGTGTTATTTTCCCTCCACCACAGCTCAGCAAGCTAACAGTTTGCACTTAAAAGACAAACTGGAACATCCCTATTTGATTTGACTGCTGCTTAAATGTGCCTAGTGTGTTACTGACATTCTCAAAACCTGCAGTAAAGTCCTTTCAACAGCTTGTTTCCCTCCATTTCAGACGCCGATTCACTAACGTTTGTCTGGACAACATCTGTGGATACCTTGTGGAGCTGCAGTCTCTGAGCCCAAACTCGGCCCTCCAACAAACCATCGGCAACTTCAAGTCGCTGCAGGCGAAGCTGGAGAAGCTCCACTGATGTTACTAATAACATTCTTCACAGGACAAGGGAAAGGTGACCTCTGGATCTTGCACTGCTGGCCTTAATTAAATAGCTGATTAAAAGCACGAGTACATAATCAGCACACCTCTTTTTCTCTTCAGCGTGATATGTTGCAGGTTGGCAAGTGCTTGTTGTTGGGCCGGTCGGAGCAGTTGGCAGTGAAGTGTTTTGATAAAGATGAGACCGAAGATACAAGTTTTATAACTTATTTAATACATTTTGTTATAAGTCTAAACATTGTGCTGAAATACAACAATAAGCAAGACACTGTTGCTTATTTGCATTGTGTGCAAATAACTGTGTTAGATACGACAAGATATTTCAGTTTTTCCTGTGTTTATAAAGACATGAAATCACTCAGTTTTCATATATTGAAATTGCACTTGTACGAGACAATTGATTTGGGAAAGTTTTTATGAGTCCACTTGGTAAATATACCCGACTAAAGCCTTTTGATCACAGGGGAATCATTTTGATTGTTCTACATTTGCCTCCAAACAAACAGTTTAGTGTTGGATGTTGTAATTATGTACATAACGTGGCCATAATGTCATCTCTTCTGCCAAAGGTCATGCACACACACCTAAAAATCTTTTTTTTCTTGTGTATTATTTACAGTGCGCGTTTTTCCTACATGGGTGAGAAATTTAACAATGCTGTTGTGTATGAGTGCTAATGTGATTGTTTTGAGTGTAGAATTTTTTTTTAACATGGTGCAGTTCACAGTACTACACTGAAAACTTTGGCCTGCGTTAAGGAAAAAAAATCATAAAACATTTTTATAAAGAAATAAAACTTGTCATTGCTTTTGTGTGCAGGGATGTTTTTGAAAACACTACAGAAACTAGTTGTTACCTGTGAACCAACAAAACTTCTCGGGCACAGTTTTGTGTTAAATTCAACAAATGATTAACAGCAAAAAAGAGGATTTAATTGCTTTGGGCTGATAATTTGACACTGCAGAGGGTGTCAAATAATGGGACTAAATGTCGTCACTGTTTGTGTTTATGTAATTATCTTTAATTGAAAATGGCACTCAGGATTTCTTACAGTCATCACCAACAGGGCAGTGATTGCTAAACATCTTTTTCTCCAATTAGCTGTGCACTCTGGTACACAATTATGTTTAATTTCTAGCCCCATGCAAAATAAAACAATTTTTACTTAATGCTGAGTTGATTTCTCTGAGTCAGTCAGTGAGTCAGTGCACTTACACAAGTACCAATAAAGTATACCATACATAACTTTTATCACATAAGACGTCAGCTAATAAAACAATCAGTGTGAACAATACCAATCTTTCCATCAAATTAAACTAACTTAAGCGCATCATCATAAAGTTAGACTTATGAATTATTCCACCACACATTATACTCCTGCTCAACATGCTGTTTTAACAAGAAATGCATTAAAAATCCATGAAGCGAGTCACTTAAAATGTTTAGTGTGAGTTTAAGCATCTTTGTGCACAACATGTAGCTAGAATACATTTGTGCTGCAGTGTGATTCATGTGTTTGGTCAAAATAAAGTTACACCGTCATTCGTAGTTGAGACGTGAAAGACTGAACAAGTGCCAAAGTATGAAATAAGGTAAAAAGCAAAAATAACACATTTATAGTATATCATATGTATGTTGTACTCTGGCAGACATAAATGATGCAAAGGGGATAAGGTTTAAATGTTAATTATTTGTTTAAAATGAGTTAAAATACTGCTTTTCCCCATTTTTGTTCTTACATTTATGTCAGAGTAAAGTTAAAAACTTGCATCTTTTGAGAAAACACACCAGAAGCAACAGGGGTGATATGTAAGGTGATAAAACGTTTAGGGCTGCAACTAATAATGATGTTCAATATATATTAACCTGAAGCTTATTTCCTCAATAAATATATGTATGGAAATAAATTCCATGTCTGGTTTAAAATAGCAAAGAAAAAAAAAACCTGCAGCAAATCCTCACAGTGAGGAAATGTATGTATGTGTTTTTTAAATACATCTCAGCGCATCCTAGAGATTATTTAAAACCATATTGATAGCAGATTAGCTCATAACAGACAGAGAGCTTTGCACTTAAGCCACACGTTTTCATTCCCTCTTCTACAGATTCTTGTACAACTGATGGATACTTTTATTTTTCAAAGGGCCAATCGTGACAGATTTTTAATAACAGGTTAACAGATAATGTGAGTAAAAAAAAAATGACGTAGGAGGACATTTCTGAGTGGATGAGTGACAATAGATCAATAGAGGTTTTAGGATATCTTGAGAATTAGATTAGAGAAGCAGTACAGTGAAGATCAGATATACATAACCACGCATTACATCCAAGATTAGAAGCTAAATGTCACGCACACTTTTCTATCTTTTGCACGGGCAAGAAAGCTTTTTCACTCCGTACAGGAATATGTAGGGGATGATGCTGGTGTAGGAGGCTGCGATATAACTGGCCACCTCCACCACTATCGACGAGGTGTGGATGTTGTTAGTGATGCGCAGAAGCAGATGAGTCAGCCAGCAAACCAGGAACACGCTGGCTACAGCCACCACGCTCTTGGCTGCCCTCACCTGAGAGCTTGAGCCTGGACTCGGCTTAGCTGGCATCTGGCTGGGCCTTGAAACATTTGGTGGAGCTCCAACTCTGCTGTCTGTGTTCGTTTCACTGTTGAGGGGAGAGCTGTTGGAGCTGTGACCCAGCAGCTCTCCGTTTGGACAGGAAGACGCAGGCACACCTATATAAACAGGGGTTGGGGATGCAGAATCTTTCTGATCTTTTGAGGGGTCTGGACCATTAACAGCACTGACTGACTTCTCATTTCTGTTTTCAGTGCTCTTGTTTTCATCCTTAACCATCTCCTTGGTAGCGTCAGTATTATGACTCTGTATGCGTTGCTGGTTTTGGAGCAGAGTGATGACAATCTGAACACTGGCAAATACAATTCCAGCAACAGGGAGAGCGTTAGCCAGGGTTAAATAAAAGATCTCATAGGTTTGCCTGGCGACTGCGTTAGGGAAGACTTCTACACAGTCATCGTAGCTCTCATTTCCCCCTTCCACTGTGACAAAGAAGAAGTGTGGGATACTGAAAACCACAGCCACCATCCAGCTCCCAGCCAGCAGACAACCCACCAAGCGCAGGCTATCCAGCCGCACCGGTGCACCTCCTCGTTTCAGGGAGCCAACAAGCTTCTGGTGCCAGAAAGCACTGATGAAGAAGGTTGTATAGATGCTGCTGGTTTCAGATAGGTCAGCACAGAAACGAAACACGCCACAGAAGGTTTCCCCCAGGAACCAGCGTCCAGCGAAATCTGCCATGGTGTCAGGCAGGTCCACCAGGTAGTTGGTGATGAGGTTGGAGACAGCAAGGTTGATGAAAAGGACCTCGTTGGTGCGGATGCCAGATTTCTGCCCGGGCAGGGAGCGTATAGCCAGCCAGTTGTTTCCCAGGATCCCTGCCAGAAACATGAATGCTCTGATAAGGGCTTCAATCAACTCGTCTGCATCCATCGTCTCACAAGATCACGTGACAACTTCACTCAGTCTTCAGTGTGGTTTGGTTCATGGAAATTTATAGAGGAGGGTAAAGAGCCAAACCCAATCATACTGTAGAGTTCAAACGACGTCTTACCATTTTGTTTATCCGTCAAGGAGCCTTCATCATATAGCCTAGTCCCACTGAGATGGAGGCGTATTCTTCTCACGACAGGCCCTCCCAAGGAGCTTCTTCTGACAGAAAGTGGACTATGATCTACTGTCAGATTGACAGAGAAACTGGAAATCCCTGAAGAGCCACGAGTTAAAGCTCAGAGTCCTACTTATGACCTGAATTACTCTCTATACTGTAGGATCACTTTAAGGGGAATGCCACTCATTTTATCATCTCACCAGTGTTATTCCTGTGCTCTAGTGCAGCTCAGTTTGTGCTTTTTTTGTTGTTGCAGAATGTGACTAAAGAGACACTGACTGTTATGTACTTAGTTTTGTTTAAAAATCCTGAATGCAATTGGGATATTAATCTCCTCAACTGTTTTTGAATGTGTGTATGAAATTAAATTGTCCTTGTACAGCTGCACAAAGTGAGTACACTTTGCACACTTTGCACACTACTATTTCTCCATGCAGCAGCAGCTGATTTCACACCCCTGTGGCAGGAAAAAATGTGATTTTCTCACTGTTTTTTTTTTTTAATCTTCACAAATAAACAAACACAGGAAATGTCTGAAAAGTGTGCCATTGCCCCTTTAAGAGGTCTCTGGAACTTTTGGTACCACTTTCTTTTTCATTTATGAATGTAAATAAGTCATCATGTAGGCTAGGCTATGTGGGTCCAGAGGCTCTGCAAAGCTCTTCCAGAAGTGAACTGGTCCATTGGTCTTCCTGTTAAATTAAATAAATAAAAACACAAAGCAGAAGCAATGCTGGAAGAGTGAGTTTCCACAGCCTGGCATCCAAAATGTGGTCCTATTAATGGATTATAATAATAACCACCATTAACCACTGATTGTACCTGGTCTTCAACCCATATAACCTAAAATATATAACCTACTATTACTGTTTTTACTATCAAGTTTTGCGTGCTATTAATAACTAACAGTGGACATGGTTGTATACTAATATAATGGGATAGCAGGGACTAACAATACATTTCATCCTATGTTTTAAAAGAGGAATAAGCATGTCCTCCGGCTCCCAGCGTGGGCTCTCAGTGTAGTGTAGTGTTTCACGTGATTCGGGAGTAAAAGCTCCACCTTTGGGATAAACCAGAGGCGGCATCTGTGAGCCGCTGCCTGCCTTCCTGCCGGGACAGACGGGGTCGGGATGCGGGAGTGAGCGGTGCTGCTGTCGCTTTTGCGGGCTTCTTCTTTTTTCCTCCTCTTAACTATGGTTTTGGTTCCGAGGTTAACGAAAAAGGCTTTGTCCGAAAACGACACACACACAAACGAAACTGGTCACTTGCCGTCGCTTCCGTTAGTATGATGAGACTCTGATGTGTGCGGAGAGGACAGGATGCCCGCCAGCGGCGCCGACTCACTGAAACCCAGCGCCTTCATCCCGGTGTGCACGGCCGCCTGCCTCCTGGTCGGCTCTACCTCCCTCTTCTTCGTCTTTACGTAAGTGCGACCCTAATGAGAAAGTTGGTGACATGCATTGTTGGTTTGCTCCCATCCATCCAGAAATCCATTGCTCTTCATCCACCGTGCATCAGGTATTCTTTCATTCATTTTTGCATGTGCATAAAATAAGATAAAAAAAGATTATCTTCTTTTCTTAAATGTCATTAAGATGAATATTGACTGTGCAGTTTATTATTTCAATTTGTAAAAAAAAAAAAAAACATTTCTTAAACTAAACATGCAGAAAAAGAGCACCATTTCTCTTTTTCACTGACTTCACTCTTGCTGGCAGACCCACCAGGGGCGGCTAACATCTGACCCCTTTGGCTCACACTGTGGGCTAGGCTGGGTGCCTGGCCAATGCACCCTGAGGACTAAGAGTAAGCACACTTTAGGGGATAAGCCACCCACAATCAAACATGTATCAACGCATCATTATGACCCACATGTTTAATAAATACAGCAGGAGGAAGTCAAATACACTATCTGCAAACGCCTTTTAAACCTCACAGCGTGGTTTGTGATCAGAAAACCTGGTTACAATTTAAGTTTTAATGCAGCACTTGGTGAAAAGTGTTGAAATAGTTAATTTTAGCCTCCTGGTTTTGACCTACTTGTGAGGAAAGGCAGAACTAGTGGGAGGTTGGAAAGATTTAACTCCAACGCTGGCACACTGGAAAAAAATTCATATAATATCTTATAATACCCTAGAATCCAATTTAAATGACTATAGGTTAGTCAGATTTATCTTATTTTCCAAAGCCTTTACATTAAGAACCATACAGAAAAAAATAAACAGACCAATTTCAGATATTGAAGCACTTTCAGTATGAAAACCACTCTGATATCCACCATTGACTTACTGACTGAAGGCTCCTTCCTCATCAGCTCTATGCCACTCTACTGACCCTTGACCTTCGTAGCCATATCTGTCCTAGTTTCTCATGTATTCTCGAGCCGTGCACCGTTTCCACTGGAATCTGACACCAGATTGGGAGTATGGGATTAGGATCCTTTTGCCAATGCCATGTGATCCCCCATCTGGAAAAAAATGAGTCTGGGATCTTTGAAATTCCTATCAGCAGATATTTACTCTACCCTCTTTCTGGGGTAGTTTGACCATCAGATACATTCATTTTATAGTTTTATATTTTTTTTTTCCACACACTACTTCATTATGTCCTCTTTATTTCCTTTTTCTTTTTCCTTTCTTTTGTTGTAAAAGCTGGTAAAGTAAAGACCCCAGAGCGTCTTTATATGAGGGCATATATGATACAGGCCTACATCCTTTTATTCCATTAATATTATACAAATGACTTGAATGGGTTTGAAAATTGAAAAATTTCAATTAATTTGTAGCTCTCTCCACACTAGATTACAAAAATATGTCACGCTCAAAATTCACATGTTAACTTGACCGCTGTCTAATTGCTGAATTCGAGAGACGTTTTGGACGTAGAGACTCTAGAGGCTCGCAGGCCAGAAAAGGCAGAGATACTCTGATGAACTAACATCTATACTGTGTGAGAGAGAGAAAAAAAAGATCAATGGCCTGCTGACGTGACAGATTGAAAAGAGACTACTTAAATGGGACTGCATTGCTAAACCAGCAGAACCAGGACACTGCAAATGATTGAAAGAAGAAGTGATGAATCTGCTTCTTATGGGACAAGGGTTGCATCTGAGCTGAAATGACCTTATAACTTACATTTATTTTTAATTAACACAGCCCAGTAGAAAAGGGCTTAAAATTTTCTGACTTGATGGCTACTGTATATCAACCTCTGAGGACAGTAGCTGAAAACCAACTGACTGACAGGCAGTGTAATACTTTGCTATAATATCTGCAGTTCATCTTGTGTCTTAAATACTCTTCTAGCTGTTTGTTTGCCCTTATTATCTGGAAGTATGAACAGTAGGTTTAAAGGCCATTCACATCAGCATTCAGCAGGAAGTTAGAAACATTTTCTTTCAGGAGAAACTATTATCAACTGCCAGTTAACATAACAGTCTTCTGTTATGAGCAGTAACTCTGTTTAATATCCTGTGTATCTGCCAAGCCAGCAGCTGCAGCTGGAGTGACTCCAGACAGAGATAGACAGGTGCCACGCTCTGTTCAGCCCTGCCTTGGTAACGCTGAGTCAAAGGGACATCGCTTGTCATCTGCCATAACATCATCCTGGCCTTTACCCTGGTTGCTGTGAATCATGGGAACATGCTTGAATGCTGTGCAGTCAGGCCTTTTGTAATTTTTGATACTGATGAAACCTTGTACCTACAATTTTAATTCCAAACCCTGCAGACATGTTAAATATAAATTCTCAGCCCTTTCATCTGGTAATATTCATAAAACAAGCAGTGTGTTTGCATTTGTAGTGCAAGCATGCTTCCATTTCTGTTTCCACTGCAGGTTCTGTAGAGCTGGAAAAACAACCTTTGTGAATTGTGGAGGCTCTTTTGTCTTCCTTCGGCTGAAAAAATTAATCAGTTACTGGTTTCCTGCTTTTGTTCGTCTGACCGTGAACTTTTGTTTGGGTTAGTGCTAAAGGTTTTGTGCATTGTTAAACACAGGCAGGTTGCCTACGCCCAACAAAGGCCGCACACAAGAAGGACCAAGAAAAATGTCCCTTGTTAATTAAGTTATGTTCCGCTCTGCCCAGACTCAAAAACGTTGCATATCTACTGAGTAAACTGTGTGTTCAGAATACTGAAATATATTGAAGAGGCGTTATCTGAAGAAAAGGGTACTTGCTTACGCTGAAAATTGCAGGAGCAAACACTGTAAACACATTAAAATGTCATAAAACGTTGCAGGTTAAGTTGTAATATATACAAAATTCACTTTCCACTGGATGTCACACTAGAGCGCAGCATTTAAGATCAAAACAATGAGACAGAAATAAAATAAAACAACAACAACAATCACCAACTCTGGTTTGGTTGAAATAAACCCTTAATTCACAGAGTTAGATGTAAAAATATTCGTGAAAAGGGCTGTAATGGCTGCAACGTAAGCTCATGTTAATCCGGGACAAATGGGCCCGTCAATATACGTCCACTGGTAGTGGTTGTTTTTGACCAGAAACAGCCATAATATCCCTATTGCTCGTCATGCTCCATAGACAACATGGTATAGTTGCTTTACTCAGCTGCTCCCGGAGCAGGCCATTTTTAAAAATAACACAGAACTACCTCTTCATATAAAATTGAAATAAAAACACAATGGTGCCCGAGAAAATGTAGATGACACAAGTCACAGATCACGCCGTACCCATGACACTGTGAGTACAACATTTATTGTCCAATCTGTGGGAATTTATTCACTACCAGATGTTTTCTGTACTGATGTAGGTGTCTAGAAATCTGACAGATACACGGCAGTGATGTCATTCATGTAACTGTGACAATATTTCACAAAAGGAGTCATGGCTGTCAGAAGTGGTGAACTTGCCGCTTGACCAACTGTGCAGCGTCTGCTGTGCCACTGACCCACTGCGGGGATGAGGGCAGCGTGCAGATTGCAGAGCAGCTTACTGTTCTGTGTGATTTAATACAGCTCTGCCGGGGCTGTTTCATTAGGTGGGACTTGTCTTTGCCACGCTGCAGTGTAATGAACTGTCTCTCCCTGCGGCCCAGATGGTCTCAGACCAATGATGGAGGCTTGGCCGTCCGTGCAGAGGCGTCCGCACTGTAATCTGGTCCACAAGAAATCAGTCAGATGAACCCAGCTCACCTCCTGTGTTTCATCTGCAGCGCCATTGTTGACGTGGAATAGGCTGTATTTGTCACATTAAGCCAATTTGGTGATTGTAATGATCTATCTATCTATCTATCTATCTATCTATCTATCTATCTATCTATCTATCTATCTATCTATCTATCTATCTATCTATCTATCTATCTATCTACTTATCTATCTATCTTTTATTCTTATTTTTAAATAGTAAACTAGAATATGTATGAGCCATATTGCTGTTACTAACCAGCTCGAGTTACACAGTTTAATCTAATGTATCAGCTATGACAGTTTAAGCACATGTCAAACATGACTGTATTTAGTGAGAAGAACTTCCTGAATAGCAGCCTTTGGGATGTGGGGGGTGGGTGGGATCATATTACGCTCCTTAATCTTTTTGTCACGTATTCACTGCTTCTGAAGGTTCTCATAATTTTATTATGCTAAAAAAAAAAAAAATCCATGTCCTATTTTAATTTTTTCTCATCATCTGTTGTAAGAGGGAGTCTATTGCAGGTTTCGACTGCCAGTAGTGAATCCATTGGATTTATGTCATGGTATACAATGTATAGTAGCGTGCTGTGTGATATATGGTGCGCCTTGATAGCACTCTCTGTTTGTATCTGATGTGAGGAATACACAATGCACTGGACTGGCAGAAATGGTCTGTAATCCAGAGTTCATAATCCAGGGATTACTGGGTTTGCAGCTGGCATGGCATCAACAGCCGTTCCTCTCGGGGGTGGGGAGACCCCATCCCCCACAGCCTAAAACCAGCCGGGGGGTTTGGGGATTGGAGCTGCACTGGGATGAAGCCCATAATTGAGGCGGATGACTCTTAATTTTGTCAGTGTTTTCACTTTCACAAGACTCTGTTTAATCACTAATATGTGTTCACTCTTTACTTTTCTATAGTCATATCTGCAAAAT